AGGCGTCCTGATTCAGCCGCTGCTGAAACTGACCAGCAGCGGCTGAATCAGGACGCCTGGGGTGCTGCCGGGGTGGTCCAGTAGTGCCCAGAGCGGCGCTACGGGACCAACCGGCAGCGCCCCAGCTGCTGTACCACAGGCATCTGGAGCAAAGCCGCGAAGCACAGGGGCAGCAGGACAGCCCAGATGTGCCGTGGCTGTCCTGCTGGCCTCGGGCTCCGCGGCTTTGCTCTGCTTTGCTCCCCGTCTCCCTGGTCTGCTGGAGACCAGGGAGACGGGCCCCGTTTGTAACTGCGGATCCGACATAAGTCGGATCCGCATAACTCGGGGACCGCCTGTAGTTATTACACGGGCAAATCAGGGGAAATTTATAAGTTCCTCTTGTTCCATATAGTTCTTTAAAGTAGAAATGCAAAGTCAAGAATGCTGCAGAAATACAATCCCTCTCAGTGGGTTTTGAGAAACAGATTTTCACCCTAACTAAAATTGAAATTACTTCCATTTCCCTATCTGGTCTCTTCTGATACATTAGCTTGCAGCAGAACAACAACTCGGTGAAAGGCGAGTGTGTAAGCTGCTAAAACACATAGTATTCTGAGCAAAAGACAAAAAATCAGTAATTAACACTGCACAATCAGATTATTTTTTATTTTTATCAAAGCAAGGCATTAGTCTATGTGACTGAGCTGTGGGAATCCTCTCCATGGTCCTCAAAACAAATCAGTATTTTTACGCGGGTGGTTGGATTCTGCTTTATCAAAGAGGGTAAAATTTAACTCTTCCTAAAAGTTTTCAACAGCTCTTTTTGCTTTGGGTTTTATTGTTGGATAAAAGAGCCTTACTACTTTAGGAGTGTGTGTCCTGTATATAAGCTCAGCATGCAAACCTCTGTTCAAAGTGTGCCTACTCCTCAGGAGGGAAACTCATGATCCTTGAAAGCCACGTGTTTCCTTCCTTACTATATGTCAAAAATATACGCACTCTTCACAGGCTTCGCAAAAGCCTCACGCTACAAACCAACTAATCCCTTGGATTCTGATTGGCTCCAGCATAAAAGGAGGTGGTAGAAGGCATTCCAAAGCAAGATTAAAACATTTGACTCTTCAAAGCCTAGTATGAACTGATTGGTTTAAAAAGCCTCACCTCCTTTCTTCAGAATAACTGTAGATTGGGGTTATTTTGCATTATTCTTGATGCCCCATGTCTAAACTCAAAATCCTCCAGAGTCTCATCTTATTACAAACCATAAAAGGTACTCAGACAAATCCCAGTCATTTTTTGTAATGCAATTTAAAGTTAGGAAAAACCAAGCAATGATATCAAGTATCAGAGGGGTAGCCGTGTTAGTCTGAATCTGCAAAAGCGACGAGGAGTCCTGTGGCACCTTATAGACTAACTGAAGTGTAGGAGCATAAGCTTTCGTGGGCAAAGACCCACTTCGTCAGATGCATGTGATAATCAAGCAATGATAATAGCTCTAGTAGGGTACGTCTACACTACAACGTTAATTCGAACTAACTTAGTTCGAATTAGTTAATTCGAACTAAGCTAATTCGAACTAACGGATCCAGACTAAAAAACTAGTTCGAATTAGCGTTTTCCAATTCAAACTAGCATGTCCACATTAAGTGGACCTTGAACCAGGCTTAAGGATGGCCGGAAGCAGTGCCGGCAGGGCATCAGAGGAGGACTTAGAGCGTGGAGATGCTGTCTCAGGCTAGCCGAGGGCTGTGCTTAAAGGGTCCCGACCCCCACCCCGGACAGACAGTTCTCAGGGGTGCCCCGCTTGCAAAGCAGTCCTGGCTTGGATTGCCCGGAGTACCCACACTGGGCACATCAGAGTACTCGGCCATCAGCCTGGCTGCACTTGCCGCAGGCTGCTATCTGGGAGAGGGGGCAATTGGGGGGCTGCAGGAGAGCTTCCACCCCCAAAGCCCGCAGAGCCA